CTAGTGTTAGATTTTGTGGATTCGTGATCACCATTACCAAGTATAAGCAATCACCTACGCTCGGTTCGCAATAAACAACTGCACCTCCCAGTCGCGAACCATTTCAACTCCCCCTCCCATTCCTCAGACGACATGTCCATGCTGGGCCTCCTGCAGTGCCACAACGATGCCACCCGAAGGTTGCAGGAACAGCAACTCACATTTCGCTTGGGAACCCTGCAACTCAATGGTATCAATGTGGATTTCACAAGCTTCAAAATCTCCCCTCCTCCTACCGCATCCCAAAACCAGCCCAGCTCGTCCCCGCCTCCCTAACCTGTTCTTCCTCCCACCTATCCCCTCCTCCCACCTCAAGCCGCACCCCCATCTCCTACCTACTAACCTCATCCCACCCCCTTGACCTGTCCATCCTCCCTGGACTGACCTATCCCCTCCCTAACTCCCCACCTACTCTCACCTTTACTGGCTCCATCCCCGCCTCTTCGACCTGTCTGTTTCCTCTCCACCTATCTTCTCCTCTATCCATCTTCTATCCGCCTCCCCCTCTCTCCCTATTTATTTCAGAACCCCCTTCCCCTCCCCCATTTCTGATGAAGGGTCTTGGCCCGAAACGTCAGCCTTTCTGCTCCTATGATGCTGCTTGGCCTGCTGTGTTCATGCAGCTCTGCACCTTGTTGTCTCATAAGCAATCGATTGTTCATAAGCAATTTGCAGGTGGCTTATTGAGTTTGTTAAGAAGTTGCAGTTTTAGATATGATGCATTATTTCCTTAAATAAAGAAAGGAAATATATGATTGATGATAAATGAGAAGGCTTTACTGATCCCAAAGCTGTTCAGTAAATTGAAGAAATACAGGCATTGGACGCCTACAGTTTGGACTGTTTGTCTCCAGTAGTTCATAGTCTTTCACGGTAACAGTCTGCTCTGCCCTCAGGCTGATTAGGGAAACTCCTGGTCTTCTTCCAAGAAGGTGATGGTTGTATCCCTGAACCCTCTTGACCTCACTTCCTGCTTATTCTTGTTAGTGAATGTTATTTTTGGGGCTGACAGACTATATTGCCACTTGTCCAAATCCTCTTAGCTAGTGACCATGAAATAGCTAAGCATGATTTCAGGATAATCATTGTCCCCTTGCCTACCTTTATCTGAAAGTTTGCTTTCATTCTGCAAACAAAATGCCTTACCTTACCAAATACTGGCTGGTTAACATGGTACATATGACACCAAATAAATCTTTGATATGAGTTCAATGGAAAATTGTATCCTAAGTGATCCTGGGGATTGTTGTAGCTTTTTTTGTGCCTTCCTTTTATCTTTATTCAGTAGAAATTTGTTTATGTTTGGGAAACTTTGTTATTGCAGTAATAAAATCTCAAGCTACGCAGAAAATTCCATTTTATAGAGGTCCCAAAATTCCAACGCTAGGGTACAAGTGATGGTTCTATGTTAATTGAGGGTAATTGGGTGAGAACGTGACTGCATATATTTACTTGGATAACAAGTAATCAGTGGGGTTGGAGTTGGGTGCTGTGAGTTTGATAGAATTCTGATTAGAAAAGCACATAAAAACCGAAAGAACTGTGGATGCTGTAAATCAGGAACAAAAACAGAAGTTGCTGGAAAAGCTCAGCAGGTCTGGCAGCATCTGTGAAGAAAAAATCAGAGTTGACGTTTCGGGTCCGGTGACCATTCCTCAGAACTTCATTGTCAGTCCTGGTGTTTGACCAAGTATATGCTAGAAAAACACATGCCTGGACTTTTGTTGAACCAACTTTTGTGCTGAGCAGTGGAAACAGGATGGTTAACTATTTGTAAGTCAACGATTAAAAACCAAGCATTACTTGAACCAACAAGTGGAGAAAATTTCAGAGAGATGGTTGAATCAAAATCTGAAGTATTGGGCTGTGTTTACCCACACCTGTTTTCTGAATGTGAATCTTATGGAAAAACCATGTGGACCTGCTTTACTTCTTTACCAAAGAGGAAATGAAACATAGCCATGGCATTTTACCTACCATACAAAAACGGGATAAGAAACAAACTTTTATCAGAAATGCAAACTGATGATTGAGCTCAAATGAAGATTTGAACAAACTATTAACTTGCATGGATAAAATTATCAAAAAGACAATTTATTAACTGCTTATGAAGTGGGGTCAGATTTTGACAAAGTCAGAAAGTGAAGTATATTCGTTGGAAGAATACGTAATGGAATTCAATAAATTGTATGCCAGACTGCAGAAATACCAACTGGAAATTTCCCAATCTGTGCTGCATTTAAGTACTTAGACTGTGCCAAATTATTGAGTTTAGACAGATTTCAAATTTTGATGGAAGTTAAGCAAGAAGCACACGAAAGCATTCCTCTCCAGCAGCATTTGTGGTGAAAAGGGGTCAATTGGCCATACCATAGAAATGGAACACAATGCTTACAGGCTGGTGAGGCTATCTAGATTTAGTTTGCAGACAACAATACAAAATAACTTAGCAAGCTAAAATGAGGACAGAACCATTTTCAACAATTTTATCAAATGAGAATTTGGAACATAGATTAAAAGAATGAACTGCAGAACTACCTAGGGTTTACTCAGTTGATACAAGGTGTGATTCAACGTACCATGACACCATGAATTTGTCCAAACAGTAAAAGGTCATTCAAAACTAATCACAAAATGGAAGATTCTGAGGAAGCAGACAGAGATATGAATTAAGGAGATGGGAATGGAATTGGTCTCGAGACATTTCAGCCTAATGATGAATGTTGTTAGCAGAACCTTTCCATAATATGGTATTAAAAAGTGGATGCACATCTGCACTGTGTGGAATAGTCTGGTTAAAATGCTACCTAGACACTCTGAATAATAAGGATCAGAACAAAGTTAAGGAATTTGAGTGTTTCAGATATAGAGACAATAGCATACTAAAATCTTTAAAAAAACTAGTAAAATAACCAGAATAGAACATTTTATTAGTATGGATGTTCTGGACAGTGAAATACTCTTGTTATTAAGTATACCATCAATGAAAAAAAAACACAAATGAAACAGGATATGGAAAATGACAAAGCTTTTATATTCAGGAGATCTGTGAATTTGTAATTTCCACAATTATAACACTATTGTATTCCTTTAATGGAACACCATTTCTCTGCCAAAGAAACTAAAGTACCATTATTGATATCAAGTGGCTTTTAAGTACACTGAATTGGAATTTAGGCAAAATGATTTCAGCATTGTTTGCATCAACAATCTTACTTGGTAAATATTACTCCCATTGAACTTACTCAAAGTAGGTTCTTGTAAAAAGGTGCAGCAGCTTCAGAAACTGAAATGGAGAAACTGCAAAGTCTAATTGGATAGCTGAATTGGTTTGGCACCTGAACAAAGCAAGATGCCAGTTTTGAAGTCTCGGGATTGGGTACGGCTGTGAAAAGTGTTGCTGTTTGGCTTGAGAAGCTAAAAAGGATTAGAGGAGTCGTTTGAAAATGAAGGAGCAAATTACTGCAGATGCTGGAATCTGTACTGAAAACAAAAACTGCTGGAGATCACAGCGAGTCAGGCAGCATACATGTAGAGAAAGCAAGCTAACGTTTCGAGTCTAGATGACTCTGATGAGTCTCCATCAGAATCATCTAGGCTCGAAACATTAGCTTGCTTTCTCTCCATAGATGCTGCTGACCCACTGTGATCTCCAGCAGTTTTTGTTTTCATTAGTTTAAAAGTGAAGTACTTTAGCAGCTCTCATTGAGGCAGTAAATATGGCATTTTTCTTAGAAAAAATATTGGAAAAAGTTAGAAAAAGGAATTCAGCAACAATTGCCATTGAGTACTATATTGATAATAAGTCCCTCCGGCGTAACTTATACAAAATGTGTGAATGAGAAAAAGACTGAGAATTAATATTGCAGTTTTAAAGCAAGTGCTGGAGAACAGAGAAACCTCTACATTGAAATGGATGCTTAACATCAGACAACTATCTGATGGTTTTATGACGAAAAGAACAACTTCAAACGAGCTATTAGAAGTACTGAAATAAAGGACTTTGGAACTTTAATGAGAGAGAAATATGGATCCTTCCGGAACCATTTTATATCTCTGTTAACGAGTCAAATTTTCAATGGTGTAATTGTCTTTTTGGTCTTGTTTTTGCAGGGGCGTTGCACTCGGGAAAACTGCAAATATCTCCATCCGCCCCCACACTTGAAAACACAGCTGGAGATCAATGGACGGAACAACCTGATCCAGCAGAAGACTGCTGCAGCCATGCTTGCACAACAAATGCAGTTCATGCTGCCAGGCACGCAGCTGCAGCCAATGGTGAGCACTGGCTGCATCACATGACCTTTCCATCTCCAAGACCAGCTACTTTCACCTCCGTAATGATGTCCAAATATGCCTCTGTCTCAGCTTTTTTGTTGCTGAAACCCTCATCCATGCCTTTGCTACCTGTAGGCAAGACTATTTCAGTACTCTGGTCACCTCCCGTTCTTCCAACATCAATAAACTTGAACTTATCCAAAACTCTATGTTCTAACTTGCTCTCATACATCACCTCTGTTGTTGCTGATCTGTCTGATATGCCTTAATATTGAAATTCTCTTCTTTATTTTCAAATCCCTCCACTATTCCCATATTCATAACTTCCTATTCTTTTGTCTAATTCCTCTTTCCTTCATTCCATGCCTTTAGCTCCCTTGTTTCCAAGATCTGGAATCCTTACCCCAAACCCCTCTGCCTCTCTACTTTGTCTGCCTTTTACCTTTCATACAAAAATGAATAGTGCCAAAAGTCTGGTAGGCAGCTATATAATGTCCAGGATAATGTGTCCGGGCCATCACAAACCAGTTAGCTTAATGTCAATCATGGGAAAGACAGTTAGAACTTGAATTAAAACTGAAATACTGAAGAATTCAAACCAGACTTAAAACATTAACTCTGTTTCTCTTTCCATGGACACTGCTAAACCTGCTGAGTTTCTGCAGTATTCTCTGTTTGTTTATGGGTTAAGGATATCTGTTCAGACTAAGAAAAGGTAGGAATGGGGGTTTCTACGTGGGCCACTGAGGGTCACCGCTCATAATAAACAATTTGGACTTGGAAATTGGAAGGGCAATTTCCGAATTTTCAGATGTCACCAAATTGAGAGTTTATGTAATGCTGAGGATGAATCCAGCAACATACAAAAGGGACCATTAATAAACTAGCAGGAGGTGCTAATTTGCAGATTTACTTCAGTATAGATAATGTTTTGGTGCTGCATTTTGACGAGAACAATAAGGACCTCGCTTATTTCTTGGAAAACAATCTAAATGGGCCAAAAGAGGAAAGGTGTCTGGGAGTATATATAGAGAAGTCATTTAAAACAGTGACACAATAGGACCATTTTTTTAAAAAATGCAAAGAAAGTTCTTGTGTTTATTTTTAGAGTAGATTTGCAAAGCTGAGAAATTATGTTTAACATACATTGAATCTTGAGTATACTGTGCTTTGTTCTGTTCTTATTACAAGTGATGTAGGGACATTAGAGAAGATGCAAAGAAAAAAGTTCACATGGATTAGTGCCACTGATTTGCAGTTTTGCAAAATAATACACCATAACTTTGAAGATCACAAGGTACGCCAGAGATCCTTTGATCAATCATCATTCAACTTTTTATGTTTCTGTAATGCTGTATCTCCACTGATTCCGTATTACACAGGATAACCACACCTCAAAAGTACTTAATTGGCTATAAAGTATTTTGACTGTCCTGAAAAGTAACAGTTGCTATATAAATACAATTTCTCCCTATTTCTTTTCTTCTGGTTAAGCTGGAATTTTCCACTAACCCTTATTGAAGAGCATTACCGTAATTTTCTACAGTGCAGGTTAGCTTTTGAGGCGATAGCATGTGGAAACTCAACTGGTCAGTATGTGTGAGGCAGTTTGGATGTGCTGGTCAGCCTAGATTTCGCATACGGTGAGAATACTTCTATTTGCTTTGTTATCACAGTTGATCAGGAGAATTCAGGAAGCCTTCAAGGACTTAAAAATGTAGATGTAATAACCATTCCCCGTCTTCAGAGGTTCTCAATGAGGCCTTTTGGGAAAGGTAGAATTTTAAATAAGTTCCACTGATAATATTTAATCCTGGATCATTTTGGAATACAAAGAGGCCACGATATGTTTCGGCTGCAAATTCCTTAAACGTGTGTTGAAACTGTTTATGGCAAGGCCGATGATTGAGGTACATTGTGACAGACATCAGGGTGAGGGTGGTCTCTTGAACTATTTTAGATTACCTAAGGAGTGGATTTGGAGGGAAATTTCCCAGATTTTTGACCCTGATTGTTCTGGAATTTTACTTGTTATTTTCTGCCTCTCCCAAGAGATCCATATGATGGATGTGTCTCTTCCATGATGTATAATACACTGTTGGGGGTTATTTACCTCAGTTGGCTGGACTGTTAGTTTGCACAGCAGTGTGATGCCAGCAGCGTGGGTTGAATCCCCACTCTGGCTGTGGTTATCATGAAGGACTCTCCTTCTCAACCTCTCCCCTTGTCTGCGGTATGGTGATCCTCAGGTTAAATCACCACCAGTCGTCTCTCTCTCTAATAAGAGAACAGCCCTACCGTCTGGTAAGACTATGGCGACTTGATAATACACTGTAAGTAGATGCAGTTGGCCAATGGGCTGTTCCCTTTCTGTTGTAGTAAATCTGTATGTAATATAACATCCAAGTTCTGACATGCTGTGAGTGCATTTTCTTTTTATCTTTATCCACAGACTACATTTCCTGTAACTCCATCTTTAGCAACAAATCATACAATGGGTCTTAATCCCTATCTGAGTCACATGACCCATGGGATGGGACTGGTTCCGACAGAACTCCTGCCAAACACGCCAGTCCTGGTGTCAGGGAATCCCACAGTTACAGTCCAAGGAAACACAGCGTCACAGAAACTAATGCGGACAGATAAATTGGAGGTATCAATAGTTATATACATGTGTGTGCATTTCCTGTATATATGCAATAAAGTGATTAACTTCCTTCTAAACACTTTTTACAGTTGTGAGAACAATTTACCACAATTCCATGTCTGTGCAATTTTTGTTAACATCTTCCATTATAGTTTCCGGTGTCAAAATTTATAATTGTGATTTTAAACTATTCTGGTAATGTTTAGTAATGTTACTGGATTTGCAATATGGAGGAATTCAACAAAATGAGTTAAAATCTCACCTTGGCAGTTGGGGAATTTTAATTCCAGTAGATTAAATAAAATGGAATATAAAGCTAATATTAGTAATTGTGAAACTAGAGATTGTTAGTCCACTAATGTGAACCTTAGTGGTTCTGGCCTACTTGTGACTGTTGACCCATAGCAATGTTTTTGACTGCTGACTGCCCTCTGAAAAGATGTAGCAAACCACTGAATTGGCTCAAGGGCAATTAATGATGAACTATAAATTTTGCCTTGTGAATTAATAAATAGAAGTTGCTGATGTAAAATTGCCGAACTATAATTACACCATCCTACCATCAGAGGCCACTATCGACCAAGAATTTGGCCAAAAGAAGCTCCTATTCCATCACCATGTCTTTACTGGGAATTGTGCATGAAATCACATTTGTGCACTGTTTGTACCACATCTCCAATGCAAGAGCAGGAGTTCATAGAGTTGTATAGCATGGAAACAGACCCTTTGGTCCAACATGTCCATGCTGACCAGACATCCTAAATTAATCTAGTCCCATTTGCTAGCATTTGACCTATATTCCAATAAATGCTTCCTGTTCACGTACCCATCCAGATGCCTTTTAAATGTAATTATACCAGCCTTCAACAACACCTCCAGCTGCTCATTCCATACATGCAGCACCCTGTGCATGAAAAAGTTGCCCCTTGGATCCCTTTTAAATCTTTCCCCTCTCATCATAAACCTATGCCCTCTAGTTTCAGACTCCACTACCCTGGGGAAAAGACCTTCACCCTATACATGATTTTATAAACCTCTGTAAGGTCATCCCTCAGCCTCCGACACTCCACGGAAAATAGCCCAGCCTTTTCAGCCTCTTCCTATAGCTCATAGCCTCCAATCCTGGCAATATCCTTGTAAATCTTCTCTGAATCCTCTCAAGTTTGACAGCATCTTTCCTATAGCAGGGAGACCAGAAGTGAATGCAGTATTTCAAAAGTGGCCTAACCGATGTCCGGTACAATCGCAATATGACCTCCCAACTCCAATACTCGATGCACTGATCAATAAAGGCAAGCATACCAAACATCATCTTCACTACCCTGTGTACCTGCGATTCCACTTTCAAGGAATTATGAACCTGCACCCCCAGGTTTCTTTGTTCGGCAATACTCCCCAGGACCTTACCATTAACTTTATAAGTCTTGCCCTGTTTTGCCTCACAAAATGCAACACCTCATAGTTATCTAAACTAACTCCATCTGCCACTCCTCAGCCCATTTGCCCATCAGATCAAGATCCCATTGTACTTCGAGGTAACCTTCTTCATTGTCCACTTGCCACTAATTTTGGTGTCAAATGCAAACTTACGAACCATACCTCCTGTATTCACATCCAAATCATTTATATAAATGACAAAAAGCACTAGTCCTTGCAGCACACCGCTAGTCTCAGGCCTCCCGTCTGAAAAGCAACCCTTCACCACCATCCTCTACCCCTTACCTTTGAGCCAATTCTATATCCAGTTGGCTAGCTCTCCTTGTATTCCATGTGATCTAACTTTGCTAACCAGTTTACCATGTGGAACCTTGTTGAATGCCTTGCTGAAGTCCACATAGACAACGTCCACCACTCTGCCTTCTTCAATTCCCTTCGTCACTTCTTCAAAAAACTCAATCAAGTCAGTGAGACATGATTTCCCATGTACAAAGCCATGTTGTTTATCCCTAATCAGTCCTTGATGGTGTAATTATAGTAATTATACATGTAAATCCTGTCCCTCAGGATCCCCTCCAACAACCTGCCCACCACTGACATTAGTCTCACCAGTCTGTAGTTCCCTAGCTTTTCCTTACCACCTTTCTTAAATAATGGCACCGTGCTAGCCAACTTCTAGTCTTCTGGCACCTCACCCATGGCTATCAATGATACAAATGTCTCAGCAAAGGGCACAGAAATCACTTCCTTAGCTTCCCACAAAGTCCTGGGGTACATCTGATCTGGTCCTGGGGATTTTTCCATCTTTATATTCATCTCCAGTGGGCTTTTACATTGAACGATGTGGTACTAGTTGATACACAGTGATTGGGAAGGAAATTCCAGATGTTTTACCCAGTGCAGTGAGATGCAGCGCCACATAAGGGGTTTTGACAACAGAGCGATATCGTCATTGGACTAGTAATTGAGAGGCTAAGGTTAATTTTGTGGGGACACAGGTTAAAATCTCACAATGGCAGCTTGTTAACTTTTGATTCCATTAATAAAATTAGGAATTGAAAGCTAGCATTAGTGATGATGACCAGAGACATAATTGATGATCATAAAAAAAGCTCATATCTAATGCCGAAGGAAGTCTGCCATCCTTAACTGGTCTGGCCTACTTGTGACTCCACAGCAATGAGGCTGACCCCCAACCTCCCCCTGCAAAGTCCCAACAAGCCACTCAGTTCGAGGGATGGGCAACAAATACTGGCCTTATCAGTAAAACCCATATCCTATCAAAAAATATATTTTTAAAAATGGGTAAGTCCGGATGATTTGTGACTTGGAGAGAAACTTGGAGATGATGGTGTTCCAACAAACAGTATTGTTCTTATTTTTCTTGCAGAATTGTAGAGTTAGGACATGCTATCTAAATAAGTTTGATACTTATTATAGTGTAAATTGTGGAAAGTGCAATACTCCTTGTTTTAATTTCAGTCCTTTGCATGTTTGCTTGCTGTAGAAAAAACCATGCTGCTAGGAAAACTCGTGATGTCCTGGAACAGTAAGATATATAATCTGCATTGGTCTCAGCTAGCAGTTATTATGAGGTGGGGAGAGGGGAGATAGTCCACTAAAATATATGAAAATCAGAGAAAAAAATGATATGCATACCCCTGTCATAGAGCCATCAAAGAGGCCAAGAAACAGCTCAGACACATTCAAAGTACTCTTGTATTCCTGCCTTTCAGTAAACACATAATAAAAGCAGCATTGACTCCTGATTCCTCATCGACCATGGATAAAGTGCAGCTGCAGAATCTTGTTGCAAAAAGCATTTTTTGTCCATCCCTAATTGTCCTTGATCTGAGTGGCTTGGCAGGCCATGCCAGAGAGCAGCCAGAAGCCAATCTCACTGTTGTAGATGTGGAGTCACATGTAAATCCTGGTGTTACGGGCTAGTGAAGCTACGAATAGAGAGCAAGTGCAGCTGAACACGTGGCTACAGTGCTGGTGTAGGACAAAGGGCTTCAGATATGTGCATCATTGGGATACCTGCTGGGGAAGGTGGGACCTGTACAAGAAGGATGGGTTGCACCTGAACAGGAGGGGCACCAATTTCCTGGTCAGGAGGTTTGCTAGAGCTCTTCGTGAGGGTTTAAACTAGTTTGGCAGGGTGATGGAAACCGGAGTTACGGATCAGGGAAAGGGGTAGCTGGTGTACAGGTAGATACAACATGCAGAGAGTCTGTGAGGAAGAATAGACAGTTGATATGGCAAAGTTGCAGTCAGTGTGACGGGTTAAAGTATGTCTGTTTTAACGCAAGAAGCTTCAGGAATAAGGGTGATGAACTTAAAGCATGGATCAGCACTTGGAGCTACAATGTTGTGGCCATTATGGAGAATTGGATAACACAGGGGCAGGAATGGTTGTTCGATGTTCCGGGGTTGAGATGTTTAAAAAAAAATAGGGAGATGGGGGAGTGGCATTGCTAATCAGGGATGATATCACAGCTGCAGAAAAGGAGGTTGTTGAGGAGGGTTTGTCTACTGAGTCATTATGGGTGGAAGTCAGAAACAGGAAAGGAGCAGTCACTTTATTGGGAGTTTTCTATAGACCCCCCAGTAGCAACAGAGACTCTGAGGAACAGATTGGGAGGCAGATTTTGGGAAGGTGCGGAAGTAATAGGGTTGTTGTCATGGGTGACTTCAACTTCCCTAATATATACTGGAACCTCCTAAGTGCAAATAGTTTGGATGGAGCAAATTTTATCAGGTGTGTCCAGGAAGGATTTCTGACTCAATATGTAGATAGGCCAACTAGAGGGGGAGGCCATATTGGATTTGGTGCTTGGCAACAAACCAGGCCAAGTGTCGGATCTCTCAGTGGGAGAGCATTTCAGTGATAGTGATCACAACTCCCTGACCTTTACTACAGTCATGGAGAGGGATAGGAGCAAACGGTATGTGAAAGTATTTAATTGGGGGAGGGGGAATTACAATGCTATTAGGCAAGAACTGCAGAGCTTAAATTGGGAACAGATGTTCTCAGGGAAATGCACAACAGAAATGTGGAGGTTGTTCAGGGAGCACTCGCTATGAGTACTAGATAGGTTTGTCCCACTGAGGCAAGGAAGAGCTGGTAAGGTGAAGGAACCTTGGATGACAAGACATATGGAACATCTAGTGAAGAGGAAGAAGGAAGCGTACTTAAGGTTGAGGAAGCAAGGATCGGACAGGGCTCTTGAGGGCTACAAGGTAGCCAGGAAGGGAGGTGATGGCCTAGTGGTATTATCGCTGGACTGTACATCCAGAGACCCAGATAATGTTCTGGGGACCTGGGTTTGAATCCCGCCACGGCAGATGGTGGAATTTGAACTCAATAAATATCTGGAATTAAGAGTCGAATGATGACCATGAATCCATTGTTGATTGTCGTAAAAACCCCTCTGGTTCACTAATGTCCTTTAGGGAAGGAAACTGCCATCCTTACCTGATCTGGCCTACATGTGACTCCGGACCCACAGCAATGTGGTTAACTCTAAACTGCCCTCTGTGCAATTAGGGATGGGCAACAAATGCTG